CATGATGGGGCAACAAATATTTCATAGGAAAATACATGTAAATTTGCTCGGATAATTAAACCCTGTTAATTGATTTTCCCGCTTAATTGGTTCAAAATTCATGTCATCAAAAATAAATTTAATTTTACTTTTCAACGGTTAATTGCATAATAATAATTGAAAAATAATCTGCCATTTTTTACATACATATTTGACATAATTTGACTAGGTGGCATTTCTACTAATTCAAAACATATGTTTTTTGCCAAGGAAAAACTGCTAGAAGGCGTGATTTGTATTTGACATTGGATTTATTTAAATCATTAGTAGTTCCAATTATACGTGATTACTGTAATTGAACAAACTATTCAATTAAGCGGGTTCGGATAATTGGTTCCAAAAATTTGTGCAAATTTTGATGTGCAATTAACCGAAAAATACTGTACGACATTTTGTATAACTTGGAATCTCCTGAATAAATTTGATTTGGTTGCACAACGTATAATATTCTGTCAAAAAATTAAAACAAATAATTGACAAAATGTATTTATAAAGAGAGTATTTATAAAGAAAATCGAAAGTCTATCTTGAAAGGTCGACTTTGCGATTTCCTCAAAGATCAAAAATCGACTTCGACGTTTAAACTTTTTAATATAAAAATTCGATTAGTCGAAAGTTGATTTTCTTATCCCTGATCCTGAACGTAACAAAGGCTTAAAAATATAAAGATTGGCGTTTTTATTGTAAACATGCCTCTGTTGTACCAGATTCCCCCTGGATATTTTTTTATAAACTACTTTGTCAAAAGGCATTTTGTCGAGTCTTTACGGTTTCTATGTCTTTGCCCGACTAAACTTTAGATTAAAAGTTGATCTATAGGTACCTTCATTTAGCAACGTAACGCCGCACAGTGGGTTATACCATAGACAGACGACAGCCTTAATTTGCATTAAAAAGTTCTTAATTTGAATTAAAATTTACCCCTGACAGACGAGAGTTTCTGCATTTATGAACCAGTTTTTTCTTTCAAAACTATTGTTTGTCTGTGTGTAGGAAGAAAATATTGACATTTGTTTACAATACTTTTTAGGATTACATCTTTTTGAAATTGATACATGACAGGAAAAGTAACAGCTATAATGAAGATAAAACAGCTCCAAATTTGAAGAAATGTTGAATTTTGCCTTTATTTCTAATTTTTATTTTCGTAAACGTAAACAAATTTGACAACAATCAATTTATTTTCTACAGCATTGCCATATTGAAATTGCTTAATTCAGTATAAATTCAGTTTGATTTTGTGCATTAACAACACATAAAAATGAGGATAATGTACAAGTTAATTTGAATTAAGGCTGTTAATGCAAATTAAGGCTGTCGTCTGTCTAGGCTATTAGAGTAGCATGTTTTCTTGTATCAAATCAGGGAAGCTATGTTAGGATAATTTTTCTTTATTTTTCAGTTAGTAACATTAAAACAAGTTAAAAAATGTTTTCTAAGTATATTTGAGTATAATTTTATTAAGTAATGCCAAATATTAGTGTATGTATAATAGGGCAAGGAGTACAATATGCGAATTTTCAGGTTTTCGACTGTCAAAAAGGTGTAAACGTCGAAAACGTCATATACCTGTATAAAATTAGTAAACGTCATTTATTTCAATATTATCAATTTCAATATTATTTTTACTGTATATCTGGCTATCCTTTACTAGAACTGATAAAAAATTCTGAACTTTTTTGAGAAAATTCTGAACATTTGTAAATTCTATATGGATTTGAGTAAAGCATACATACGTTATTTCCTGATCGATAAATGTAAATAGCTATTTTATCAAACACCTAATGGTTTTGAGTGGGTTTCCGACGTTTATGACGTATGTATTATACGTCGGAAATGTATGTCATTTATGCCACTGTTTCTGACAGGCCATCTCTGTCCGCAGCATCACCAACTTCTGATAACTGCTCAATATGTAAAGGGCATTGGACACAATTTCGGGTCCGTGAATAAATAAATTGTGCAAAGTGGTAGGCAAGGATACGTTTCAACAAGAAGTCGTTCTGTATTGTGTGCATATATTTGAAAATTTTAATTATTAATCTCATGGCCACTAGATACAGCAATAACCAACACGTGATTTTTTATTAAATTAACATCTTATTTTGTTATTTCGGCAGATTTTTTTGCGTTTTGGTGCGTTTTTTTGATTTCTTCAGCTAAAAATGTCATCTTGTCATTCATTGTTTGAGCGCTTGAATTCATCATAAGCTTCGACGATTATAAAAAACAACGTTCGAACAGATACAAAAATGCTAATAAGAAACCCTTTCAAAAATCCCTTTTGCCCGATTACTTGAAACTGCACAACACAATCACTATTTGTCAAAACAAAGAATATTATTAAAAGAAACAAAAATACAAACAATAATATACGGAAAAGGAGAGCACAATAACTAGAAAAAATAACATGAAAAACAAGAAAACACAACACACAACTATAGCACCAGTCGCGAGATCAATGTGACTTTTAACTAATTTGACTCCTGCAACACTTGTATTAAACAATGCATGGCTTCTAAAAGGCAGAAAAGGGCAGCGTAAAATTTTGCAATATAACACAGATTTATGTCCTCTTTAAAACTCCTTGTACATTAGAACTTTTTGCCGGGTTAACCTAATTTATGAGGATTTATTTGACATATATGCAAAGGAAATGACAATTGAAACCCACTGGGTTAACGAAATCCGGTTAAATGTAAACATACTGTAATATAAACCAAAAATTATGACACGAATGTGGACGAATAATAACTATTTATCCATTTAAAATATAAAAATATTAATTTTTTTGGCATTTTCAATGTAAATAGCTACATTTAAATCACTTTCAAACACAATTTGAAAGTTAACGAAGTATTTGCAAAATAACCTGAACTTCATGGTTCCATTGAGAAATGTTTAACTTTTACAATACTTTTTAAAATAAATAAAATTTTCTACAGGAACGTTTTCACTTTTTTCAGTCTTTTTGGCACAAAAATTTCTATAGTTTGACTTTGAAGTTTCACCATAAAAACACCAGACCACTTTTGACATATATTTTAACGACAAGTGTTGTAGAATTTTATATACTCTAACCGGGTGCAAAAAATTTTACCGATACTTAAAATTTTATTTTTTAATTAATCCAAGAAAACAGGGTATTTAACCCACTGTGCGCCGTCAATACAGTCAGTATGTCAGTTCTCATTTAGTCTCCATCCCACATCATTCGTAAACAATTCGGTTCTCATTTAGTCGTCATCCCACCTAATTCGTAAATTTTTTTCTTTATCGGCCATTTTGCCTTCTCCTCCCATTCTTCAGCAGGTGGAACGTTTTTCATTTTTTCAGTCGTTAAAAATGGCGCTAGAAAAGCATTCTCTCGGCATATTCGCATCAATCAAAATTAATTTTAATTTATTCGCAACAATCAAAATTAATTTTAATTTAATAATAATTTCAAAAGATTGTGTGATTGTTTTGATTTCTTTGCACTCTTTTTTCGACGTCTTCTCCTTTTTTGGTTACACTGTTAAGGGTTATGCCATGTACAGACGAGCGTTGTTCGCTCTCTCATTCGTTGTACGACCCGTAATTATGATGTAATTACTTAGTTCCCCATACAAATTTTTCTGAGCGAACACCGATTTTTGTACGTAGTTCAATTCGAATAAGTCTCCAAACAACAAAGAAATTCGTCCCATCCCCAACAATTGAGAGCATTTATCAAAAATAAATTAATTTTGCCAGCTGGAAAATATTTATAAAATTTTCAAACCTTTTCAGTAAAATTGAAAATGATGAATGAAAAGTAACAAATTGTCTAGTTTTTATATATGCAGCAGGATGTAAATTTTGTTATCTTCGTAATGCAATATGCATTTTTTCCCTTTTGGTTTTAATTAGCGTGCAAAACAAGAAACAAATGTGGGAAACCCAATCAAAAATTCTCCAATTTTTTATTTACATATACAAATGAAAATATAAAAATGTTGAAAAAAACAATATTTTCAGAAAAAATGGAAAACATGAATTAAAAGTAAATATATCATGCTATAGTCAGGAGAAAGAGAATTATTTTTTCTAGTTACATATGTGATTCAACGATAAAACAAGAAACAAAAATTTTGAAATCCTTGACATATGATATATGAAGAAAATAGTAAAATCTCGAACATGGCATTAAGCAGGGTGTTCGTGTTGAGCCATCCATCGCGTTATGTTTTATCGAAAATACAACAACCACCAACGCTTGAAGCCGTGTGACATTTGAATTTAGAAAATATAAAAATGTATGAAAACAACCGTTGCGTTATGTGTTATCGAAAATACAACAACCACAAGGAAACGATAACACAAACGCACGAATTTGTTGTGCGCTGCGCTTCGGAGTTAAATATATTTTAACTTTTTGCGCGCGTTAACGCAATAACAAAAAACGCCCAACGCGAACATTCTGTTTATCCCTTAAAGGGTTAATCAACTTCGAGCACATCAACTTCGAGCGTTTGTGTTATCGTTTCCTTGTGGTTGTTGTATTTTCGATAACACATAACGCAACGGATGGCTCAACGCGAGCATTCTGCTTAGCCCTTTATTGTTTTTTGTTTTGTTATTTTGCTCATTGTTTTTTTTTTTTTTTGTTTTGTAATAAGACGACATATGCCAATATTAATAAACAAAATAATTGGCATGTTCCCGTACTGCTAGAATCTACTAGATTTCACTAATTTTCTTTGTTAGCGTAGTAAAAGTAGTAGATTCTTGCAGTACGGGAACAGATAAATAACAAACCAAGTATTTATGAAGAAAATCGAAAGTCGATCTTGAAAAGTCGATTTTGCGATTTCTTATGAATTCGATTATTATTTTTCAATACAAAAAGCCGATTAATCGATTAGCCGAAAGTCGATCTACTTATTCCTAGCTTATTTCATGGAGATTGTTGCAAATTTGTGGAAGATTTTGTTTAATTTTACGAGAAAATAATTGTTTATATAAAATAAATGTGACTTTAAAGGACTCGTTGTGAAATTTCCTCAAATTATTCATAAAAGAAGCGAGTGTTTTCGACAGCTGTGATAATCTATCTACATGATGGCACCACAGCCACTGGAACAGGGTCTAGCGGCAGGCTACCTGCCGCAAGGCCAAGAAGGAAGTCCACGAATGAACACAATATCCTTGGCAGTCCTCATTGATTTCATCATACAGAGAACCTATCACGATCTGACTGTGTTGGCAGAATTGTAAGTATTTTGATACAATGCAATTGTGGGGAAAGTAGACTTTCCCATCATGTATCCATATGCGAAAGTAAATTTGACACATGTCACATCTTTGCTGCAACTAAAACAATCTGCGATTTTTCCAGGCTGCCACGAAAGTCGGACATGGAACGTAAAATTGAAATTTACAATTTTGCTGCACGCACAAGGCAGTTATTTATTCGCCTTATTGCTCTGGTGAAATGGGCAAATTCTGTATCCAAAGTGGACAAATCAGCGGTGAGTTACTTATACGACCAATTGCATTGGGTAGAATCAACTGTAATGTACCTTTTATTTTTAACAGAATATAATGAGCTTTTTGGATAAGCAAAATATGCTGTTTGTTGAAACGGCAGATATGCTGGCTCGTATGTCCCGCGAAACACTGGTAAGGGCGTGTTTACCCAATTTTCATATACCTGCTGCTGTTGAGGTTCTAACCAAAGGTACATATAATCGCTTGCCAACCTGCATACGAGAGCGTATTGTTCCCCCCGATCCAATAACAGTTCAAGAAAAGCGCCAAACATTGCAACGTCTAAATCAAGTTATACAGCACAGACTAGTTACGGGAAAACTTATGCCACAATTAAGGGAGTTCAAGGTTGGTATAAAATTCCTATTTGTAGTAAAAATGTGTATTAATTTTGTGAATTCGTTGTAGATACGAAATGGTCGTGTTACATTTGAGGTAAAACACGAGTTTAGAGTTTCCTTGACCGTGATGGGTGATAGTCCGACAGTTCCCTGGCGTTTGCTCGATATTGATATTTTGGTTGAAGACAAAGAAACAGGAGGTAATATCATGTTTTCTGTAGAAATAACCGCCTACAATTCAATTTTTAATTTGTTACTAGATGGAAAGGCTTTGGTGCATCCCCTTCAAGTCAATTATATTCATCAACTTATACAAGCTCGACTTGTTGAAAATCCTAATGCCCTAAGCGAAGTCTACAACTGCCTACACTACTTTTGTCAATCACTCCAACTAGAAGTTCTATATACCCAAACATTGCGTCTCAGTTATGAGCGCTTGGACGACAATATACAAGTCGAGGAATATATTCCGGGTGTGAAAATCACAGTTTCCTATTGGCGTGAATTAACCAGCAAAGATCCTAAATCCGAATTGGGTTATCGCTTAACAGTACAATCAGATCCCAATGAAATTGGACGCCCCCTGGCCGTGGTTCATATACCATCTTTGGGGGCTAAAGAATCAGCTGAGGTTGCCGATCGCGCAGTACGTTCCGATCATTTGTCGATGGAACGGCTTATTGTACATACTGTTTACATACGATCTGTATCACGTTTGTCTGACTTGAAATTGGAATTCCAAGCTTTTCTCAAAGACGTTGATTGTGAGTGTAAATGTCTTTGAGTTCTTACAGCTTGGCGAAATAATTGTATATCTAAACTCTTTCCTTTATTTAGTTAATTTACAAGGTACACCGGCTATATTGACAGTGCCGGTTCTAACGCCCTGTTTAAGGGCAGAACAAATTCACATAACAATAGACACCCATACGGGAATGTTGCGCTGTCATGTTCCCAAGCATTTGGACTGTCCGATAATGCCAGAAATGCAGGTTTGCCTTAATGGAGATCGCAACAAATTGCCGCAAATAATGTCTGAATTACGTTATTGGATAACTCATCGACGTTGCGAAAAGACACTACAGCATCTGCCTGCTACCGCTACCGAAACTTTACCATTTCTCAAGGCACCCGATAATCCATTGCTTCAGGCAGGAAGGCATAAAATTTTCGTTAAACTACATCGTCACCCGAATTTTATATTGGTAAGAGTAGCTTGTGTTTACCACACAACAACTGGTGTAATTATTTTTTTATACAGGTTGTGCAGCTGAAGGAGAAGCCAAATACACCTAATGAAATGGAGTATACGTTCCATCTAGGATTCGTTGCTTTTCAGACAAAAGAAAATGATACTACTGTGGAAGAATCCGCACAACAATTGGTTCCAGTACAGGCCACACCCGCCCAGCAAGCTGCGGGGAACGCTTCTAATGCCGAAGTGCCAAGAGTTTATACAAAACTACTTAAACTTATTGAATTTGATACTTTTGTCTCTACACATGGCCCTGGAACAGATGTTGACGGTTGGTTAAATCAAAAGCAGCAAATATATTTTCCTCTAATGAAATTTTATTTTTTCAGATACACCGCCACATAAACGAAAAGCGGGCAATGAACATGGGGCACCGTCTGCAAAACAAGCAAAAACAATTTATCCAGCTTACTTTATACCCGAACTTGCTCACGTTGTGGCCATGTGTGATGAGAAAATACCATTTTTGAATTTAGCACAAGCCTTGACCAAACACAATATACCCCATAGTGGTTTGCAGGTGGAATCCAATGCCACGTCATTGGTATTGAAAATACTCGCTTTGCCCAAACCAGGGCAGACGCATAGCCATGAACAAGGGAAGGTAAATTTTGAAAAGCTTATTTTTTAAACTTTATATTAAAGTCTCTATATTTCAGCCACAACCTCATATACAAACCTTGCCGACCATTGAGCCGCACATATGGAAGGATCTAATGAAACGACTACTGTCCATTTCTATCCGTTCTCAGATGAATAAAAATAATCAAATTCGTATCTGGGTTGTGGAGTTCGTATTTTTCAGCACTCCACTACAAAGTAATCATGCCAAGGAACAGGGCAATCGACGAACAGTTTACCTTACATATGAACAAAGTAATCATGATTTCTCAAAAACAGTGGAAGATTTACTAAAAGACTGGTCGAAAATTGTGTATCTCTATACGTTAGCGTACAATTTTGCTGAACACATCAAAAACAGTAAGTTCTTACGATATAAAAGAAATTTTGAAATGTAATTCCAATTATTATTTTACTTTGCAGAACGATTAAATATTGCCGATATGGTTAGTATAAATTCGTACAATTATATAAATCTACTTCTCGGCTATGGACCCAAAAAGGAGGTGATTTGTAATATATATTGGTCAGCACAATCACATGGCTTTCGCTTGACATTTATGGGTGGCATAACAACCGTTAATGCTCACTCGATGATGCGAGATCAATTGGCTACACACTTGAATAGCCAACATAGTTTGGCCCAAATGGTGTGCATATTACATGAAACCTATAATCCTCTATCATCTATAGCTAAGCTGCCAATTATTCCCCATCTTGGAATACCGGTAAATCATGAAAATTTTATATTCTATTTTCATAAATTTATATGTTTCCCCTTTACATGATAGCGACCACAAGTACCCGTCTTGTCGTTTTGTATTCTACCACAATCGCCTTGTCTGATACGCCTGGCTTACCAATCTATATATTGTCTTGAGATACGTTTTAAATCCGGACGTTTGGTTTCAATACGTGATGGTGCCTTTAGTCGTTTTGATCGCAATTTAATTGTCGAATTCACACCTATACAAGGATTGAAGGTATGTTTCTGTTTGCCATTATATATGTTGGAATTTTTAATTTTTAATACGTCTTTTTATAGGGATTCCTATCAAAATACGTTGACGAGAATGCGGTTTATCGTGGTCGATCACAAAGTGAAGATGACAATCCTCCCTCGCCTTTGGGCATGGAAGATAATTTTGGCGGACCAGGCAGTGTATCAGGTGGTGGAACGGGAGGCTCATCACCATTTCTTAGTGCTGGCATGAGAGGACCTCAATCACCCCGAGATAGCGGCTTGCGTTTTCCGGCACCCCATACGCCACCATCTAGCTCGAATCCCCATACCCCAGCCAGTCCTCATCCTGTTGGTGGTGGATCGTCTGGAGGTGGTACCGGGCAAAATCATCCGAACTATAACCTAACTTCGCCGCCAGGACCCCACATGCCGCATCCTTCTCCTAGTGGTCTTATGCCCTCATCGCCACTAAATCCCCAACCAAGTCCGCATATGGTTCACAGTCCCGGACCCAACACACTTTACATGCAAGGTCACCAAGACTCTCCGTTTGCGGCAATGTCACCGGCCAATAGTAATTGGCCCGGATCACCGAGTATGCCAAGGCCATCACCGAGACCAGGACAAAGTCCAGATCACAAATCTAGCCAAACAGGCACGGCTGGTCAAAATCCTGCCGGTAACAACTCGGGTAATTCACAAAGCCTCAATCGGATGCCCCAAGCCAATCGTTCATGGGCTGGAGCAATACCAACCATATTGACACATGAAAAACTGGACCTACTTTGTCGTCCCAGTCCACATCCCAATAAGGAAATTGGTGCAACACCGGATATAAGTCCATTGGAACGTTTTCTTGGTTGTGTCTACATGAGACGTCAGCTCTATCGAAACATTCAAAATGACGACACACTACAGCTACTGAACTCGAACGAGCCCGGTGTGGTGTTGTTCAAAGTCGATGGCATGCAATGTCAAGTGACTCTAAATCAGGTTCATATGCAATCGTTACACCTGAAGATTGTCCCATTGCCACCTCCACCCACTCCGGATGGCAAACAACCTTTCCAATTGAGTCCTGAAGATTTTCTGGTACTAGAGCAATTCTTTGATACACGAGTGGCTGCGCCACCGTACCGTCCCAATTCGTTGCATGGCTTTAGTCGTGTTTTGAGTTGTACACCGCAAGTTCTTAAAGACTTTGTACAAATAATGCGCTTGGAAATGAAGCCTGAATTGGGAGGAGATCAACTAAAATGGACAGTGCAGTTCTGTACTCGGGTGCCACCATCAGCGGCACCCATTGTCCCAATTGGCAATCCCGGTGTACATATAGTGCGATTGAAAATATTATTCTTCGTAAGTTGTCGATCGCTGGTAAAGTTAGCGATTATTAATTTGAATCTAATTTCAGTTACAAATTACAAGAATACCATATAATGGCAAAGAATGGAAGGATAGTCCGTCACTAGTTTTACCAATGGTGTACGATCTTAATTCGAATTTAACACAATTGGCTGAAAAGCGTGAAACGGTTCAATCGCCAGCCGCCATTGCAGCAAGTACATTGTTGAGACGTTTCTCGGAATATGGTGTACCACATGGGCAGTGTTCACTGTTTCCGGCTGTAAGAGATTTATTGACCAATCTACAATTACCAAATGACGTACCACCACCAAATCAGGTATGTTTGAATTTTTCTGCATTAATTTTACATCAGTAGGTTGCCGATATTTAGGTAAAACTAAATTGGTCTTGATAAAAGTTTTATAGGTCTTTATACGACCGAAGAACCACAAGAGTTTACGATTTGCTAATAGGGAGCGTTCTTTTTGGTTTTATTATATTATTCATATTTAATACAAGAATCATGTTATTCTAACTTTTCTTTCTCTTTCAGGCTATTGGTCCTCCAGTTGGGTCCATGGTTGGATCGAGTCCAAATCCCATTATGCATTCGCCAATGCAACAAATGGGTGGACCTGTGGGACCACCCCAAGTCGGTCCCGGATATCAACAAATGCCCCAAAATCCCGGCCCTCAGTGATGAAGGCGGAAACGCCGCTCGGCAGCCAATAATAATGTATGATGCAGCACAGGCGGCTGATTAAATAAATCAATCACACTCAGTTACTTCTATAAATATATCTACATATGAACATTCATACATAAATACTTCGTAAATGTATTCTAGGCTTTTCGACAATTTTGAACTGTGATGAAGACACAGTTCCCCTTTTAAAATAGAATTTAGATAAAGAAGTCAACTTACCCGCACAGTCTCATTTTTAGAGGACTTTGTTTTTAAACCTTTTTCCAAAAAAGAAACCATTTGTTAACATTTCATTTAAAAAACAATCAATTTATTAATTATTACATACACACACTTATAGAAAAAGAAACAAACAAATTACAAGAATAGAGTACGAAGGGAAAATAATAAAAAAAGAATAATAAAAACAACATTTACTTAAATGTAATCATAAATTTAAGATATTTACAAAACAACAAATACACAAGAAGAGAAGAAACAAAAAAGAAAAATAAAATAAAACAAAAATACATAGTTATTACAAACAACAAAATTAAATATCACATTTCATTTAATAATATTTAATAGAGAGGCGGAAGTTTACATACATAGTTTTATAGTATATATAAATATTCTATACATACACCGGTTTCAAATCAAGCTACGGTTTTTTTTAAATTGTTAATTATTTATAAACACACAAATGGAAATAGCTTCAATAAGTTACACTTGAATCGTATAGATATTGATGACAGATGGAACATTTGCTAACTAACGCGCTTTGTAAATATTGCACATCAAAGGACTGTTGGTTTTTTTTTTTTCATTCTTACAAATGGAAAAGATTTACTACTTAAATTGATAACCCGTTTGGAATGTTTGGCATGCTAGCATCATGATCGGATCCTATGATTTGCTCCTTTGACTTTGACTTTATGCTATAATGATTTGAATGTTGAGTTTGACTGCTCATGGTTAAGTTTGTGGGGCGCAATTGTGCGGTATTCAATTCAGTTATCGTCGGCAGGGACAAGTTCAGTTTGTCCCACTTGTGATTGCAATGTTAACATATCGTCGTTTTCCGATATCAATGAGACCCAATAACGTAGTTTCTTGCTGCGCAGATAACTACCCGAGTTGTCAAAGACCACGGTGTCTAAAAATATAAATTGAAAATGTTATTTAATACTTAAATGGAATATTTAAAAACATCTTACATTTGGTATTGGGTCTGGTGGTAATAAAACCAACTTCATTCATTTCATTTGAATAGACTTTTGTCAATGGCACTTCGCTACGCTTTTCACCGGTGGCATTATCTACGCTGTAGATACCAAATTTAATGTCATGATCAATGGTGCGGAAATCCCAGGATAATAATTTATCTTCCTCGGTAGGTTTTTTGGTGCCAACATCAAATTCCAATTTCAATTTGTTACCTTTGTTGACAATGGCCTCAATGAAACTCTTGTCATCATCATCTTTCTGTTCCACATACAATTCCTTGGGAATTTTACCACCCCAGACAACCTAAATGATGGAGAGATTAATTAGTAAATTATACTGAGGAAGGATGTGAAATACTTACTTTACTGGGACATCTTTCATCACCATTTTCCACTAAATTACCACCGAAGGCTTTGGGTAGAATATCGGGATCGATATGAGTGAAGGCAGACTCCTTCCATTTGTCTGAACCATATTTGGTAATGCTAATTTTACTCATGGTATATTCATCCAATAATTTCTTAACAAAATTGAATGCAAAATGGAAAACTTTGGGTGCTGAAAGAGGGAGAAACATATAGAAATTGGTTACAATGTATTTTATAGGGATAATTTTAGGAGTGAAAGAGGCATATTGTTATTCCATTAACAATTTTTGAGTAATTTTCAACGCCGCGTAGAAAAGAGGATCATTAACCAACCAAACTGATCGCAACATAACAAAAATTTTAATTCTGATCTTAGTTTAGGAATTATCCGTAACAATAGATCCTTGGCTTTGAAGCTTTGAGATGCTCTCCTGGCTATACCGAAAATATCTTCATTATTCCTATCAGGGCTATGGATGGCGGCATAACGCCTCTCAATTGCCAAGCAATGAACATTGAAGTGTTTTCAGGTAGTTGGCTCTTAACAATTAGTCGTGGACCATGAACATGATGTACTCCGAAATGGCAAATGGAACCTGGATGCAGGACATCCAAACGCCATGTGACCATAATTGAAGTTTTTTTAATTACCATTAATAATGTAGCACATTTTCAAAATTTCTGGATAATTTTGTTCATATTCCTTGATCATGGCCATGACCAATTCAACAGCCGGGCGCCATGCATACTGAGTCATATTGAAATCGGCAACATCGAAAATCACCACAACTTGGCGAGCTTTGGGACCGTGAGTTTTACTCTTTTCGAAACCTTGCTTCATGACACCTTCTAAGATTTTTACCACGTAACGAATGAAATCGAAACGTGTGACACAGTGCAGCATGCCATAGATATCAAATTGATAGAAGGGGCAGACAATGACTGTAAAAGAAAATTCGGGAAAATTAGTAATAAAAATTGCATTAAATGAAATTTCTATCCTTCTTACTTGGTGATCCTTCTTTATCATAACCCACAACACCATAGGGTAAATATTTTCTCAGAACTTCTGGAGCTTCCCATTTGTCCAAGCTGTCAATATTAATTGAGATGCGATTTTTCATGGCCTAAAAAGTATTATAAAAATAAATAAAAGTATTATAAAATAATAAAAAAACGGTAAGTAAATTATTGTTTGTTTTTTAATTGCAAATACTAACATTTCTCAACATTTTCTCCGCAGCATCCATGTCCCATTTTCTGGCTAAAAATGGAAAACACATTAATAATTAAATTCAACAGGAAAACATATTAGGATAACTTACCACGCAGCCAACGCAATAGAAAGTAATCATCGTGGACTTCATTGTCGGTCAAGCAATCGCTGACTTTTTTACGGAACTGTAAATACAAATAATTTTAATTTGTTTAAGTTGTATATTAATACTGTATTATATGCATATTCAGAGTTATGTGTTACTGTATATGTATATCATAGAAGCGCTAGTTGAATCAATGCTTTTGAATTGTTCAAAATTTAATACTATCAAGGACAGATATCGAAGAGGAGCTCCCTCATTCATTCAGCAATAGGATATATCACTGAGTTTATTTCCCATAATTTTATTTTAGAAACTAATTCACATTTATTTAAAACATTTTGTAAAACGATGCGTTCACATTTTAGTGTCAATGGCCTTTAAATTTCGGCAATGAAAACGTTAATGTTATTTTCTAACCCCTATGGTTATAAATGCGGCTAATGAAAGCAGTTGTTAACTTTATTGTCACTTGTCAGAAAATCACAAAACAAAACTGTTTATATGAATTCAGCCTGGACTACTACAATAATTTTTAAGGATCTATTGTCATTCACGAGATAGACCCATGGTTCCTTTGAAAATAGTATCACTTTCTGAGTCGTCAGTCCATCCGTCTGCTGATGTAAATTGTAAATAAATTACAGCTCGTATATATGATCCGAATAAGATGAAGTTTGGCACATCTTACATATTTAAACCAAGGATGACCCCTATTTAAATTAAATCAGCTTAGATTTAGCTATAGTTCCCATATATATTTTTGTCCCATTTGATGTAAATGGGTACACCAAACTCTTAAAGCTTGTCCGATTTTGCACTGGGTACCGAATTAAGTTCAGATTGATGTATGTAAAGTTGTGTTCAAATCGGTTCAGATTTAGATATAGCTCCCATATATATTTTCGTAATTTCGTACTGAATTGAGCCTAGATTGATTTGTGTTAAGCATCGGTGGGAATCAGTTCAGATTTAGATATAGCCCCCATATATATGTTTTCAAAATTGTATGTAAATGTGTGTCCGATTAGGACCAAATTTGCAACACCATATCGTATTTAGTCTGTAATGACATGTATCAAGAGAAAATCGGTTCAGATTTAGATATAGCTCCAACATATGTTTTCGTCTGATTTTATATTTCTTTCGATTTACACGAAGTTGTGAAATGAGTCTAGATTGATGTGTGCCAAATTTCAGTTCAGATTTAGATATAGCTCCACATATATATGTTCCGATTTTATGTAAATGGATCATTAAAACCCCATGGGTTGACCGGTTTGGACGAAATTTGGAATATAAAGTTTTGATGAAATCGGTTCTGATTTAGATGTAGCTCCCATATGTATATATGTCCGTCTAAACGATGCTCCAAGTAACCAGTAATTGTCCGATAGCAATGGCATGTATATATATTATATTTCTGAGGTATATTAAATTTCTTTTAACCGATCCATAATTCTATAAAGCTACGATATACATATATTTCTAAAATTGTGCACCTAATACCTTACGTTTGTTCGATTGCACAGCGTACCGAAATAGTTGTGGTATAACGTGTGTAAAATTTGTTTTAAATCAGTTCAGATTTAGATATAGCTCCCATATATCTTTTACAATACACTTTGCTGATATATTGAGGCTTCAAATATGTGGAAATAAGACAATATAACCCCAAAATTATGTTTTTTAGATAGAATGATGTCAATTTAATAAAATTTAGCCTATATGAAAGAACAATTTTTCTTTTCAATCTAACATTAAAAAAAATTGAATTGTTCAGCTAAATCCTAGCTGAGCGCTATAGACTTATACTGGTCAACCCATGCTGATCATTTTGTTTCGACTGAAATTTTTGCGGTATAACCTTTTTTGTTCTACTCTAACAATTGATTTGATATTATCCTTGTCATTATAAATTGAGCTTTTCTAACATACTGCAAAAATGTTCCGGTTTTTTCCTCGGAGCCTTTCGGAGTCAAAGGTGTCCTTTAAGTGAATTTTTAACTTTTGAGTTTTTATTTCGATTTTTTGTTAATTTTTATAAATATTTGTTTATATCTAGTTATTAAAGCATTATTTGGCCCATTAGTATCTTTACTTTTTATACAAAGGCTGAAGATTGCCAATTTTAGGTTTACAGCACGGATTATTGCCGCCTTCCTCCTTGCTGAGCTGTGACTAACGACATAGTTGCATAAAATCAACTTATTCGCCCATGTGCTGCATTTCGAGTTTGCTCGAATGTGAAACATTTTCCCAAATTTGGTGTGCTCGATTCCGAATTCCCAAAAAAATATTGGGAATATAATTCGAGCACATATAGCCTTGTGGATTGAAAACGAAATAAGATCGTACGTGTTTTTCTGAGCACGTACACGTTGACAAAGAACGCTGAAGTAATATTTAATGTGTTTTTACAATATTTATTTAAAAAATACAGTATTTACATTAGTTTTTATAGTAAAATTAAAGAAAATAAAAAAGGGCTCCTATTATCAAAAACAGCGCGTAACATTTTTGAGATCAATCTGGCAACTCAACCACCATATGATCAAAATAAAAATAGAATCTATAAAAAATCTACTTTTAAGATTTCCAATAGTCCTTTTAATAATGTTTCTTTATTATATCGATGTTGACAAGATCCATGCTCCACTTGTTTATGGGCGTCATCAAAAATGTTTCTAAAGCGTAACCACTGTCCCCTAGAAGCCAATATTTTGCATACCATTTCCTCTTTTGTTAATGCTGCCTAGCTGCACTCATATTCCAAATAAAAGCATCATGGCTGGATCCTGGTCTGCAGCTTTACCCTCCACAATATTTTACACATTGTTGTGCGATCAACACTTATATTTAAATCATTTGCCACTTCCCTCTGCAACCCACCAACAGCCAGAAATCTTAAGGTAGCTGCTAACCGCAGGCTTTCGGGAATGGTACCCTTGTGTATGAAAGGACCAACTTCTCTCAAAATATCCATAAATGCTTATTTTAACACGTTCCAGTATCATTAGACTTTTTCTGGTAGAAACCAGCAGGCATATTTTTTTCTTAATTTTGTTGTTAAACAAATTGCAAATTCCATTGAAACATATGTTTTTTATTGAGCCGCACTTTCGAGCCGCACTTTCGCTCGAAATTGAGCACACCATTTTGCACAACATGGGAATTTAAAAAAGTATGGGAATTCAAAAACACTCGGAACATGTCAATTATTATGGCGAATTATTCGAGAAATTAGGGATTTATTCATGGAATATTTCCCCAAAATCGTTATACCCTTCACTGTTGTACATGGTATTATGTCTTTGTGCATATGTTTGTAACAGGCAAAAGGAAACAAGATAGACACATGGTTCCTTTTGAGAATTTGCATAGAATCACTTTCTGAGTCGATTTACGCATGTCCGTCTGTCCGTCCATGTATATTTGTGAACAAAGTACAGGTCGCATTTGGATGAAATTTGGCATAGGTCACTTATTTGGCCCAAGGACGAACCCTATTGAAATTGAGAAAAAACGGTTCAGATTTAGATATAGCTCCCATATATATTTTCGTCCGATATAAGGTAATTGGTGCTCTTTCGATTTGTCGGCCCCGTCCGACTTTACTACTTTCCTTACTGGTTTTCTGTGATAAATTATTTTCAACATCACTGGTAATTAGCTGTACTGTATTTGTTTCGGAGAACTGCATTAGTTTTCAGCCATTTTTATATATTTTTTGGCAGTAATTCAAAATTGAATACCATGTAATTCTAATAAAATCCGTTTAAAAATTACCTATAATAATCGAAATAGGTGTAAAAATCAATTATAACGGTAAAAATATCTAAAATTTTAAAGCTTATCTGTTTGTACTGTAAAGTTGAGACTATTCCCTTGGTGTTTTTTAAAGTAAAGTACCCAATTTAATACTGAAAAAAAGAACAACACGATATCTATATTTTTGAACAAGTTATGCGGCATATATTAACCTTGCAATTTTAGTTTTGGCCACCAGGGTAAATTCATCCGAGTTTATTGTTTTGTTTGGACAAAGCGCTGTATTGTTTCTATTAAATCGAGTCAGATTTACATATAGCTTTTTCACATAATTTTGTTCGATTTCATACAAATGGACAACAACGACTCTTAAGTAAGGTCAATTGACATGAAATTATATATATATATATATATATATTTGGAGCGTCTTTTGTATATATCCAAAGTAATAAAGGGTATCATATAGTAGGTCCCGTCCGACTTTTAAGCTTTCCTTACAGGATTTTAATTGTCCTTATTTTTATTTATGTTTCATTACTTTTATAGTTCCTATAATGGTGATTCTGATCACAAGGGAGAAGGATTTCATTTCAACAACCTAGCTTCGCCACCGGCCACATAAAGACCCGCCGAACTGTTTCTTTTTTCTATGAAATTATACAACGATCACTCAGAGACAACGATTGCGAATAAAAACGAATGCAATGTGTGATACAAGCTTTCACTTGGAATTGGTACAAACCACTGAAACTATAACCGAAACAACAACATAACTATTTTATATTTTAAAAAATGCACAAGATTTTAATTTTATACATAATATTGGTAAGCAAATAAATTAAAAAAAACGTTTTTTTCTGTTTTGCTCGCCAAAGGTAGATAGGTTTGTTGTGAAATACTGACCAACAGCAAGTAATTTTGTTGGCAGCGATGTTTCCATCGAACGAAGGGAGAAGCAGGTGAAAATAAATAACAAATTGCAGTATAAAAAAAACAGCATCAAATCGTTGAGCCAAATTTCGATTAAAGATTTCAGTTTCAACACAGTGCAGAGATGAAAAAAAAAACAAAGTGATTATGTTTGACATGCTTTTGATTAATAAAAAAAAAACACAAAACAAAAAACATAGTTCACTAGTCCAGTCCACCAAAATGCTGTCAATTTTTTGTTTTTGCTATTCTTCTTCATTTAGCAGTTTTTCTTGAAACGTATAAAAAACCTATTGACCATTTCCGCTATTAAGCGTTTACTAAGTTTACGGTGCCGTTTGGCGGTCAGTTTAACATCTAGTTGTTGTTGTGATCCACTAA